TTAGTGACCCACCCCTGTGCCCGAGGTGTATGCTTATGACCAGAACTGCCTGTTACTTATCCTCGCGTGCAACGAGCCTTACGTCTGACTGATCTGGCTGATCAAGAGGCATCTTAAGGACAGCCCCCGAGGTCCTCAGGAATTATTTAATGTCGCAATCAGGACGACGATCACAGCCAGTGGACAGATCAGACACCCGCCAAAAATATTTATAGACGATCTGGTTTGTGTCAACTTAGGACTGGTCAGTCCGCACACACCTTCTACCAACGCAGCGAAGAGCCTTAATGGACAAAGCAGCATGGCATAAGCGAACTGCGCCCATGGGTTGGCATGGTGACCGTGACCCGTGCTTTGACCAGGGCCCTTCAGAGACACCGCCCTCTCCTGCCATATGCGCCACCGGGAAGAATGTTGTCTCTCAAGGTAGAGCGCTCACTACTCCTCACACAAAAGAGAGTACACTCAAGGTTGGACTCACTTCCTCACGGTAAGAAGAGATTGAGAGGGTAGATAAGGTAAGGGAACAACATACTTGGAGATAGCTGCCCCCAACCACATGTCTCACCAATTGAGCCGATGTGCATTTCGATGACCTGTCATAGCTTTGGTACCACCCACAACGCAATGCAATGCCACCTCAACCAAAATGCCACATCAGCATGCTCTCATCATCCTCCATACATCCGCCGTTGCCACAACTCCCATGTTGTCACCATAGCCTTCCAGTGGCCGACCCCTCTACCTGGGTTCCGCTATATCAAGCCAGCTCCAAAGTATCCTTAATGTACAGAAGCATCGTCAGCGCTCCAAGTAACAATGTCGCCAGCTCCATGTAAGTGGCGATCTCGAACCAACTCTAATACCAAATTGCAAGGAATATGAGTGGGAACGATATACAAAAAGCCAAGTTGCAAAATCACACTTATGTCCAAGTAGTCGTGTACAAGCAGAGAGCACAAATGCATCGAGATTCCATTCAAATAAGAGCAATACAATGAAGTCATGAGCCAATGATTTATAGAACTGAACGACAGAATCCCAGAACTGCGAAAAAAATCCGAACAGAAATGACAAGTATTCGGATTTATTCCGATGAGAATATTCGCAGTTTGAAGAATAATACCTCAGGAGGGATTTCCCGTACCGTTTTCAGAAAAACGAATTTCAGAAAAGAAAATATTCCGAATTTCTAAGTAACGGGAAATGCAACAGGAAATCGAAATTTTCGAAAAGAAAAATATTCTGGGTTTTCAACAGCAAAAATTCGAATTTTCAGAAGAAAAACAAAAATGGGAATTTCAGATGTTGCGATATTGCGATTTTCCACAACAGAACAACGAGAAAATAAAATGTGCGAGGCTACGCCCGCTCAGCTCCTTCGAGGCCCTTTTTGCAGCATGTCGGCCGCCCTAAGTGAAGGCCGGCGCGACAGGCCCTCAGGGCATCGATTTTCAGGGTACCCCGCAACTGGTGAAATTCAGACAGTTGCGCTGCGCCAGTTGGTTGAAAGCACCCAGGCCCAGGCCATATTTTGCAAAATTTATCTGAATGGTGACCTGGGCCAGACGCGTGGGAAAGGCCGTGAGCAGGCCAAGGGCAGTTGGGCACATGCAACCATCAGGCCCTGGGCCTGCGTGTGAGGTCTGGGCCTGTGCCTACCGGGGCCTACTGGAAGCTTCCTGGACTGGACGCAGGCAGGCCACTTCGATATAGGGAAGGGCCTGCCTCCTCATTCAGCATTCGGGTGCTGGCTGCATGCTGCGCTATTTGCTGGCTGGCTGGCACTCACGCTCTCACGGGCAAGCAGAAAGGAGCGGGCAGCCATAGCCGAGCTGCTCCGCTGTGAGCTGGGTGTGGCGCAGGGTGGTCCTTGGGTGCTAGTGGCATCTGTGTGGTGTGGATCGGGGTTGTGAGTGTTGCGAGAGACATACCTGCTGTTGGAAGCCTGCGGCATTGTCCGTTGTATGCTCGTACTTCAGGAGGCTGTTGTTGTCAACATCCGCATTGTAGTATTAGGCTAGATAGGATCTGCCACATGTAGTCTGGGAGCCGAGCGCCAATAGGACATCAACTCTTGTTCTTCGTTGATGATGATGAGAGACTATTTCAGCATTGTCAATTACGAACTAGTGGTGTGTTCTTATTTGGTGAATTTCGTGATGCAATTCTGTTGTTGGTTCGAGGTCAAGACTATCTGGGCTCATATGTATGATGCTGTTTGATTGATGGAGTTCGCTAATGCTCATCTTCCTTGCAATTTGGTATCGGAGCTGTGGTACGATTGCGCTCATCTGGCGCTTGTCTTCTGCCTTATGCGGTACATACATGCGGTCTGCTGGGCGAGTTTGGCCGTAAGTGGTGTGTAGTGAGGAGGGTGGAGACGAGTGTGAAGGCGACCCWGGAGGTGAGGGGTTCGCCASGAAGGCTATGTGAAGTRTATGTGGTCTGGACARCGTGATGAGAACTATCTAATGTGCGATTGATGCTGAGGTRGAACGGTGGATAATGYTGGTTGTGSCGATGCAGTGACTGGTCATCGCAATCGCCATTTGGTCATCTGGTGAGATTATCTCTGTGGTTGGGGGMAGCTTGAATGAGGTACGTTGCTCTTAACCTTATCTACCCTCTTCATCACTTCTTACCGTGAGGTTGTGAGTTCTGTCTTGAGAGTCCTCTCATCGTGAGGTGTCGAGTGCGCTCAACCTTGAGAGTCGTGATTGTTCACGTGGAGCATCTGGGGGAAGACGGGCGGAGCTTCTTGAAGGGCCCTGGACGAAGCACTTGGGTCACGGTCACCATGCCAACCCGCTGGGACTAGTACACGCATGCTTCGCTGCAAGTCGTTGGTTCTGCCGCTTGCACAAGATAGGGGTTAACTCGAGTGTGGCAATCAAAAAAATTGAACAGTTGGCATCTAGTAATGATTGGGATGAGCCTTGGATGTTGAGGCGAATTCTTAGATATGTTGACAAACATCTCATGAATATAGTCCTGCGAATAATTGGAACTTCATTAGCGTGGTCTCATTTTCGCGATGCTATGTTAGACTAATTTTTCTTAGGTGATACAGTAACAACAATTGAGGACTTGAGGAATGTTGATCGAGATGCATATGTAGTAAAGGAAAAGTTTATGGCTGAATTTGAATTGGTGGCTCGTCAAACTCAGGGGTTGATAGATAGACATAAGTGTCTTGCTTTTCTTGAGAAATTTTCTGAAGGGGAGCAGTGTGTACTTACCCGAGGAGAAAGCAGTAAATTCAATTGGGAATGAATTCGATCAAATTTTATTGACCGAGAATTTAGTCGAATATTTGACCAGACTCTTCGAATACAGCTTCGCTTACAGAATATTGAGAGAGAGTGTCGAGTTGACAAACGAAAGAGAGATTCAGATCCTGTGACGAATCTCTCAAAAATCAGAGGAATACTGAAAAATGAAAAGGACGATTCTTGTCACGAGTATCAAAAGGCAAGGATAGAACGTCCTTTGGAGGACCCATGTGAGCGAGATAGGGACAATTAGGGGGATCATTTGGATGATTTTTCGATGTCAACTGCTCAAAGAACAAAACATTGCGAGTCGGCGTCTCGAAATCAACGAGACCAGCGAGTAAAGAAAGGAAGATTTTATTGGAAGAATATTATATGTAAGAGATGTGGTAGTATCGGACACACTCCAAGTAGATGCAAGGGATTGGAAGTTACAGAGAAATAAATTATTAAAATTCTGATTTAATTGGCCGAGTTCACTATGAACTCGAAACATTTTTGTGAGTGAGAATGATAATGTCATCTTAAAGTTGGTACTTCTCTTTGATAAGATAAAGATTAAAAAAAAAAAAAAAAAAAAAAAAAAAAAAAAACCCACAGATCCCTCCAGTGCTAGCGATGCTGATAAGAGCAGACACCGCTAGCACCTGGGGACAGGCTCCATCTATTAGTGGGGAGCATTACCTGCTGGAAAGCGGGTCCAGCGTCCCATTTACAAATTGCTCAAGAAACAGAACCTGAAATATGAGATTACCATGAACCCGCCAGCATTGATTGCCCCGGAAACCAGGGGATTGACTGTGCGGGTTATTGTGGATCGGGGGGGAGGGACAAAATCTCTTCACCCAGGGTCTGGCACCAGATGTTAGCTGTGGATTGCTAATTCTACCCCCTTCTTCAAGTCCAAGACAACATTTACAGATGATAGATCTGTTCTACTAGTCTCAACGAAGAAAGCGGGAACAGATCTGGAAAGTCTGAGAGTGGCCGGAGCGGTTGGGTCGACTGTTGTCCATTCATGGAAGCAGAGTTGGAACAGTTTGTGGGCTGCTATCTTCTGGTCACCTCCGTGCCCTTCGCTCTCCTTCACCTTCCCCAGTACCCCCCCGTTTATACCCCCGAGCGAGCCGCCACTGAATTGTTGTATTGTTCGTTGAATTTTCTTTGAATCTTGAAGATCTGATATCCGGATTTTTACTTGTTCCCACTGGGAGGTGATAACCGTTTTAACCTGTTGTTTGATGGTGTCTGTGAAGTCTGGTCCATCCATCCTTACTTTTTCCATTTTGTGGGTGCACCGTCTCCACCATAGGGCCCACATCACTGGCCTGCGTCCTGTTGTGAACAGGTTATGCAAAAAAGAGTCAAGCTGAGGTGGGTGCCAGGCTTCGCAGAGGATAGCCTTCCAGTCCCATGGCCATGGGCAACTGGTGCCGAGTTGACTCTCAATTCGATCCCACCATCTCCACAGCCAGACAACTCCCGGGCATTGTAGGAATATGTGTTCTATTGTTTCCGGGAGTTTCCTGGGTGGGAAGACCGAGGTGCAGAATTTGCACCATACGGGTATAACGGCAAGGTCGAGGTGAACAAGGTGTCCGGGTTTCAGTACCCGGGTGGGTCTAAGAGGCTCGTAAACCCGTACGGAGCTCCTCTCTTGACATATCAGACACGTTTGACAGTACGTTGCGACCATGCCTGCCATTCCTGACCAGAAATACAGGGGCACAATCTTTGCAAGTGTCCCCTTTCACGACTGGTGACCCCCAACTAGCCCATCATGCATTGCCTGAATTATGTCCAACTGCCTAGACCTCCCGCAGACGACGCGTCTAGGCATCATCCCTTCCTCTCTTTTGAACAGGTGGTCATTCCTTAGGACGTACTTTTCTACTTCCTCCCTTGCCTTGGGACTGACTTCCGTCGGTTGTTTGTTCCCGACAAGCAGCAAACCGATTTCTTTGAAAACGCCCTCATACATTTGTATGAGGAAGAATTCCTGTTCGTTCTGATCCGCACCCTGCTCCTCTCGAGTGAGGTTGACTAGGTACTGACACTCCTTCTGCGCCCAGGTTTCGGCCAATGTCATTACGGCGTCCCATCCCCCTTCCACGGTCATTGCCATCAATTCCTCTCTGGCCCCAACTTCTGCTCCCCACGAGTCATTTTCCTCTTTGCGCCTAACCATGGTGACTGGTCCTTCCCTGAGTTCTGCAACCACTGCACGTGCGCCCTTTTCCAAGGTCTGAATCAGCAACTGTTCTGTTGTAATTGTCAGATTTGCCATCTCATTATCCACGACAAGGGTCCCTCCTTCGTACTCTAGGAAGGCGTCAGTTGGTTCTGCGTCCTCTACTTTCTCTGGCGTGATACAAACCCTGCTCAACCCATCTGCCCTATTTCGAAGCCCTGCAATTCGCTCGACCTTATAGTCGAATTGCCATATGAAGCCTATCCATCTGCCGACAGTCGGGTCTATGGGCTTGTAGTTCTTTAGGGCTCCGACAACGTTGGTGGGATYGATCCTTATGATAAATCGCCTCCCGAACAGGTATGCCTGGAAGGTCTTMAGACAATGCAGAATTGCTAAGACCTCCTTCTTGAACTGCGAATACCGTCGTTCTGCTGAATTCAGGGTCCTACTTTCAAATCTGATTGGTCTTTCTTTGCCCTCCTCGCTTCTTTGTATCAATACTCCTCCCACTGCCAATGGTCCCCCATCTGTTTCTAAGATGAAGGGCCGTCCTACCTTGTCATTGAAACAGGGTGCTGCTAACGTGACCTAATCGGACGACAGGATGTCTTTCAGGGTCTGGGCCGCCTCTTCCCTATCTTCTGTCTAATCCATAGTGCCACCTTCCCTAATCATCGCACTGATGGGTTCCGCTATCTTTGCGAAACCTTTGATGGAGATCCTCCAGAACCCAACCACCCCTAGGAAGGCTCGTACTTCCGTCGTGGTACGCAGGGGTGTCGGCCACTGAGAGATCTTATCAGTCTTTGTTAGATCGGGTCTCCTCCCATAGGCTCCACAGCGGAATCCCAGTATGGTTACTTCCGGAACGACCAGGATGCTCTTGGGTCCACTTGCAGTAATGTTGTAGACTAGGAATCGCTGGAGTAAGTCCTTAATATCCTGCAAGTGGTCCCAGATGAACTTCCGCACTCCCGGTTGTACTTTCGTCTCATCTTCGTATCTTGCGCCCTTCACGGGATTATCATTTATGTAAGGTTCACACTTTTCCGGAAACATATCCCCTGCGACGGCGAGCATCCTCCTCTGAGCTTCTGCTACCGCATTTGTGAAGCCCATAGTGGTCACTTGCATCAGCAGCTGTCCTACCGGGGTGTGCATTGCGGTATACGGTCTATCCCTCGTGTCGAGCGGCAGCTGATCATATCCTGAGTACAAGTCTACCAGGGAGTAAATGCTCCGCCCTGCATGAGATTCTGCCAATAAGTCGGCCTGTGGAAGCGAGCCTGTGTCCCTAATTGTTACCGCATTGAGCTTCTGCAGGTCCTGGATCCACCTGAGTGTCTTATTGGGCTTCCTGAACACGAACCACTTGTTCGCGTAGGGAGATGCGGTGGGTTCAGCCACGAAAGAATCTATTTTGGCTCTAAGCAGGTCGGTGACCTCCGCTGCTATCCCAAACTCGTAGGCGGGCCCTTTATCATTCCAGCACTCGTGCTATACGGTGTGGATCCTGACAGGGGGAACTAGCTTTGCGTCCAATCGTCCTTTCTGATGATCGTTGAAGGCGAAAGCTAAATGAAACTCCTGACATGTTTTTCTTATCAACTGAGTTTCTTCCGCTGTTAGAAACCCTTCCACTCCTATTTTCATGGTGTCTGCTACCTCATCTGGTATGCGATACCCTTCCGTTGCTCGCCTCTCCCTTATTACCCGCAAAATTTCCTCCTCCTTCTCCATGACCTCTTCCTTTGACGTTTCTACTAGGATCGAGACCGGCTTCGCCTTCTTGCCTACGGGTTTATACTTTCGCACACTACCTTCGGGGATCGTTCTCCTAAAAAATGAACAGTCGGGATCGGCCTTGCTACCTCCAAGACGCGGGGCTGGATGCTGAGTAACTTCTCATTCAGACAGTAGCCCTTTCGAACCCCATCCTCAAATCTAGCAAGCGTTGCGAGGTCCACCCCCACTTTGTGGTACCTGATGGCCTTAACGAGTTGTAATAAATCTGGGATTTCAAGCACTACCTCCGACGTTTCGTTCCGGGCGTCCTTTGGTTTGGGCAGGCTGGCCCCAAGTTCGACTTCCGACTCTTTTTCTGCCACCATAACTTCCAGGGACTCGTATTCTGGCCTCCTCGTCTTTACGGGCAAGCCCATCTTGATCCACGATCATAATTTCTACCCTTTCGCTTATTCCTTCCATTCGTGCGAATGCCCCCTTCCGTGCACACTTTCTTCGAATGTTGGCGACCAGGTTGCCAATTCGCCCTTCGGAGGGTCCCCTCCAGTTCCGAGGAGTCGGAGGAGTTCTCCGCGACCAGTCACCAGATCCTCTATGTCTTCCATGTATATGCCGTCGTGCAGATGCATTCCTATCATTTCCACATTGGCGCACCATGGTCTCCCGAGGATTACGTCGTGATCCATTTCTTCCATCACGGTCATCCGCTGAAAGGACTAGATGGATTCCCGGATTCCCGCCCTGACTGCACATTTGGTGACATACCCTGTGAAAGGAATTTCGACACCTGCTCCCCGGATACTCCCTGCTACTTCCTTGTTTACCGTGCACCCCGTGACCGTTGTGAAATCCCGTCGTATAAGGGTGATTTCTGCTCCGCCGTCCACTAACGCGTCAGTGTGGTGAGTTCCAATTTGAACTTTAAGTTTCTCAACTGGTAATGCATGAAAGCTAACCTTTGTCCCGGGTGGCGCCCTTATGACTTCGTCACCTTCACGATCCAGTAGGCTTAGACGGATGTCCGCAAAGGCTTTCTCCAACTCTCCCAGGCCTCCTGGAATGCTTTGGAGGTTGGAGACTCCTTGCGGCGCCTTGGCCTCCTCCGTGTCCTGCTCTTGGAGTTCCGGGGCCTCCTCTACCTCTACGCGCTTACGCGTTAGCAGTTGCCTGAGTCCTTTAAGCAGCCTTGGGCTGGCTTGCAGCTAGGTCTGAAAAGACACCGATACCATGGTACCCAGTAGCTTACTCAAGGTGCCATCGATTTCTGGCGAAGTCAGGATCAGAATTTGATATCTGAACTTCTTTTTTGCCGCCGTAACCTTGTCTACCGGTTCCTCCTCCCTTGGCTTCCCATAGACCCTCTCTTGATCCCCGGCTTCGGCCTCTTGCTGGCCCGTGCTAGTCCTTGCGAGTTCTTCCATTACTGTATATTGCACAAGCTTCTTTTCTGCGCCGGCCCGGCGAGTGGTGATATTTACCCTATCGTGGCCATTGCCCTCTAGGATAAAATTGGCCTGTGGTCCCCGTCCCCTTGGCTGGTCCCAGACAATCTCGGCTATCGGTTCTGCTTCTATGGCAGCTATTTCTAGGTTATTCAGGAGAATGACGGCTCGCCGCATCCCCCCTGGCGAGTTCCAGTTGACACGCTCCCCCTAGGTCCGAGGATCTCGCCTTTGAGGGACCTACTGCACCTCTGCCGCTCGATATCGTGATTGAGTCTCGGACAGGCCCGTACGAAATGCCCGATCATGGTGCAATACTTGCATTGTTCGTTGGTCGGGTCCTTCCTACCAAACCCCCGGTTTGCTACAGCTCCCGGAACCACGGCCTCTTGGGGCGGGAGAGCGGGTCTGGACACTTGCGCCTGCATTACTAGCAGGGCATTTTCCATTTTGTCCATCTTGCTGTCAACCCCGTGCACCCGTTCGTGCAGGCTCTCTATCCCCTTTTTTACCTTATCCCCTGTCTTCCCGGTCAGATCTATGACCTCCCCTTCCTTAAGTAGGGCTAGCGTCTCGGTAACCACTGTCTTTTCCGCAAGGTCTGTTACGGTGCTGAAGTCCACGTCTCTCGCGTATTCGAACTTACTAGTCTGCTGGTATGCTGACAAAATCTTATCTTTATCGAACTCGGAAAACTGCTTGAGGAAGTATTTACTCATTATACGGTCCGTTACCCCGGGAATTCGTAGAGCCACTAACGTGAATGCCCTTAGGAAATCATTGTAAGTCGCATAGTTTTTCCTTTGGACTTCGGCTAATTCGACCTCTGTTGCCATTTTCTCTGCCCTCAGGTATTTCCTCATCATCTCATTCCTGGTTTCTTTCCAGGATCCACTGGAGGCGACAATGACCATAATGTCCCTGCCCAAGCTTAGTGACACGTACTGCCCCAGGTGCTTCATCTTTTCCTCTTCCGTCCATTTCAGTAAGGCTGCTAGCTTCTCATAGTCTATTAGAAACTCCATAATGTTGGCCCCATCGAACGTGAGTTTCTTTTTCGCATCTGCGAGATACCCCTGGTTCTTGTTAAGTGTCCTGTTGAGGGTGGCGACTACTTTCTTGAGACCGTCTTCGGAGCCACCCGCTTCCCCGGCTGCACTGGCTCCTTCCCCTTCCTTGCTTTCCCTCTGCTTCTCCCTGGTTTTCGATGTTCCTTCTGGGTCGAACCATCCTAGCACTCTCTCCCTAAGGCTCCAGAGTCCGTCACACGCCGCTGTTACTTTCGGCGTGGCGGGTAGTCTGCTAGTGCCGATGTCAATAGCGGGTGGGGTCATAGCGTTTTCCGTTCCTTCCGCCGGGGGGTCGCTCTTGTTCTTCCCCTTCTTGCTAGGCGTTCCTTTGTGACTATCATCCTTCCCCTCATACCTAGCCTCGTCCTGACCGGCCCTGCGTCCCTCACGTGACCCTGCGTCCTGGAGGTCCTCCTCATCCTCGGCAATCATCTGCTCGATAAGTCTTGCCTTAAATTCCGCGGTCCGCTTCTCTATCTCTGCCAGTTTATGACTGGTATCCAAGACTTTCGTCTTTTCAGGGGTGGCTCCTGCTGAGTTCCAAGGACTTGTTCTCATATCATTTCCTCCTTCCCTGTTTTTCTGAGGTCCCCTTTTGCGACCCCCAACTTTCCCCGAGTTTTCTCCAATTGAGGCGTCCTTTCGGTCTTCTTGGGTCCCCTCCAGTTTGGTTGACTCTCGATCCCTGGTTGATCCCTCGTTTCGTTCCCCATTTTCATTCGTGCCCTGATTCCCTCCGCTCTGCTGGTCATCGATCCCTTCCTCCGTCGCCATTTCTTTACCTAGCCTGCACATGGAATTTTTTTTTTTGCGAAAAGGCGGCCGATTGTTCATAACTGCCCTAGTCCCGTCCCTAAAACCCGCCTATTCCCATATTTTTGCGTCTTACGTTAATCAGTACGACTCTTCTGACTTTTCTCTCCCGGGGCGTCCTTCAGGTTTTCTTCTACCGGAGCCTTGCCGCCGCCGCTTTGGCATTTCATTACTGTCGCGCTTTGATTCTTAGGGTGGTACCTGAGCCCAGTGGCTTTCCTATCGGGGATGACTTTTTTGCCTTATTGGTCTAGGTGCCCTTGAATCTTTGGAGCGGGTGGTCTTCCTAGTTCCTTCCTGCCGCATCATTGGGTCGGCGAACTCCAACCACTGCCTCTCTTTTGCTGATGGTTGCCTACTTATCTTAGTACCCATTCTTTATTTCCCTACTTCTCCATGACACGTTTTTCTCATGCTGATCCCTCAGGCCTGGCCTACTCATCCGGTTCCTCGAACAGGTCAGCCAACCCAGCAAGGTAATTTTCCCCCATCTCTATTTCCCTGATAATTATTGGCTAGTATTCTTCAAACAACAGGTGGGGCAATCTGAATATCAAGGTCTCAAGTAATTCGAGTAGTTCCCAGGCCTGGTTTCCCCAGAACGGCCCATGTCTGACCGACACATCGTAGAACATGCCCGTTGTTTGCGGCCGGAAGAGGTGGATCCAGACCAGGGTCGAGTCCACCAAATCCCTTGCCCTCTTGAGACTGCCGAATACCAGGTCTACCATGAAGCGAGGTACTCGACACCTCAGCCCAGTCATTGGGGCCTTAAACTCTCGCCAACCTCCTATCTCCACCCGAGTCCTTAACCCCACATTCCTTCTTCCTCGCACTTCCTGGCCTATCTGGTTTAGTACTCTAGTAGCCCTCTAGAAGATTGGCAATAACCCATACCCTAGTGCCAACTCCGTCCCTAACATGTGCCACCCGAGCTCTGATAGGTACACGGTCCCCGTCACCCTAAGATCGGTGTACAGATCGTCCCCCGGTCCCCTGTTAATTCTCATACCATCCCACAAACATTCCACCATCATGAACACTTGACCTCTTCCCAAGGTCACGACTCTCCACTCGGTATCCAATCCTTGAATCATGTAGCTTGCTGGGAGCGACACCTCCCATCCATCTCCGTTTTCCGTGGGTGGCCGCAGGTGCATGGGTCGTCGCGGCATCCGGGCGCGTCTCGTCGCCATTTCCGACTTAGAAGTCCCCTGCACAGTTTTAAACAGCACGCGAGTTTACTTATTCCACTTGGTCTTCAATTTTCCATCCAAACAACTCCCCGACCCCTAGCCTGGTGCTTCTTTTTCCCCTTCTATTTCTCTCCCCTCTCTTCGGCCCTATTACCGACCTGTTTCCTCCTCCATCTGCTCATACAATCGGTACAGATCATCTACGTACGCCATCCCATGGTTTATTTCCCGTCGAAGGACACCCCACAGGACCTCACTTCCCACGACCGGAACCCTTGGCCTGGTACTAAACACAGCACGCAGGATGCGCAGCACCTCGTACTTCTGCTCTCCGCTAAACGGTCCCATTTCTAAGAAGGCCCGGTAGTATTCTCGATGTACCGCCGCTTCTTCATATGTCAGGCTCGCGAGATCGGTTACTGCTTGTCTAACAAGTTACAAGCCGCCCAGTTTTTCCAGCAGGAAGGGCGACAGCCTCATTCGTACATTTTCACTAGGCAATTCGAAGCTCCCGACCATGGCTACCCTAAGGTCTGCCGTTACATCGTCAACCCCCGGATCTGCGAACTCAAATCCCGTTCGCCATACTAACTGCCATGCCCCCTTAAACATGCTCAACGGGTCCTCTCCAGATGCCAGCCGAACTCCGAACTTCCTCCACCCGTTTTCTGACAATACAACCGCCCCTCTGCCCGCACGTGCCCCCGTAGGTCCGGGTTCCATTCCCCATTCTCAGCCGCACGCCACTCAACTTTTGTCACCAAATAAACCATATTTTTCGCAAGCTCGATCCCGACCCAATCCGCCACCTGGTGCCATCCTTCGCCTGTTGCCGGCAGGCTAACCTCTATCCCACCCGGTACTTCCCTAGGCGGTTCAATGCCCAAGGGGCGCTCCTCAAGGAACGTTCTTCTTCGTGCCATCGCGCACTTGCCTTTGATCTCCTGGCTCGCGATCCGCGTTGAACCCTACAATGGCCAGACATCCCATTCCCTAATCTTAGCAATTTTTTCGTATTTGTCTGGCTCTACAGCTTCCCTACACTTAGTCGGACCACATTACTTCGAACAGTTTGAACACATCATCCACATAGCAAGGTGTTGCTGCTACCTCATGGCGGATTATGGCCTCCCTGGTTTCCGGGGCCACCTCCTGCCGGTCATTCCTTTCAATGTCCAAAATGATGAGGACCTCCCGGGCTCTATCGCCGTGGAAGGGCCCGTATTTCAAGGATGTCCTATAAGATTCCCCTGCCAACCATGTGCAATTCACGTGTATTCGCTCCATTGTGTCGGCTACCTCTGTTACATGATCAAAACCCCCAAACCAGTCCGCCATGAACTCGGGTACCCAGGTCTTGATTCGGGCACCGGGCGGTTTAAATTCCTTCCATCCTCCCATCACGACTCTACTGCTGACCGTGTCCCATCCTTTGTTAGCAAAGCTTTCCCCCGCTTGCCGAACCCTTGCCTCAGCGTCCCCTGAAAGCCACATCGGGTTCTGTCCTGCCGCGAGCGTCGTGCAGAACAGGTGCCAACCCTATTCCGAGAGAGCGATCGTCCCAACTGATTCCACCCTTCCTTCCGCAATCTCCTCCCATCCTTCCTCTTCCCTCATCGGATTCCAGATACGCTCTATCCAAAGGTACGATAGTTCCGACACAAGCTCATACCACCGCCAATCACATGTGGTCCCTTTCCATTCATTACTCGGCGGTATTGACATCTCTACTCCCCTTCTGGTTCGTCGTGGTTCCCATGTGCAGTCCCATAATTCGAGTTCCCGGGCCATCGTTCACTACCTGCACATAGCCGACAACCCGTTTTCCCTAGGTAAGCCCCCCCCCTTCAGAAATCCCAGTCCTCTATCTCATCTCCGCCCTTCTCATCACTGAAATCCTCCTCCTCGTCTAGGAACATCTCTTTCACCCCTTCCAAGAAGGTTTCCCTCGCTGCCACGTTTCGGTAAACTATCTGCCAATGCATCGGGCTGGGAACAAAGGTTTCATCTGCGCTGAGGAGGTTTAACATCTCAGTTAATTCTTCCGCCCAGTTTCCTTCGAACGGCCCCGCCTCCACCGATAGTTTAAAGAAGTTCTGCCTCGCACCTTGGTACAACCTCAGGCGCGTCATCGACCGACATATCCGCTCCAATCTAGCCCTGGTTCCAAAGACTGCATCCACCAGGAATGGGGGTAGCATGCATCTCAGTGTCCTAAGGGGGCGTCTCATATTTTTCCGATCCCCGATTTCCACTCGCACCTCCATCCTTTCCATCTCCATTTCTGCCCGCTGACATGTTGCCCATACCACTTCCCGTTCCGCTTGCCTAAACAGCTGATCCGGTGCCATGCCCAATACTAGTCCCACTACCATTGCATTTTTTATTTCTTGAGATAGGTAGATCCATCCTCGAGCTTCCACTGTTCCCCGGAATTCTAGGTCCATCAAGCTAGGTGAGAGTCTTGTCAGGCTGGCCTTAGTCCAGATTGTCTCGATCCAGAGGAACGCGTCCTTCTTGTCCAGCATCACGGTTTCATAGGCTGGTTCTAGGCCGGTCCATGTCCCTTCTTCCAGGAGAACAACAGATACCCCGTCCCTTACTTCTATAGGCATTTCCGGACCACTAGAGTAGACAGGAGGCGACAACCATCGCGCCATCTTGTTTCCCGACGCCTGTCTTGTTTTTCACATGAGAGCACCACACGACCCTTCATGGTCAGACGGTTTGCTTTTCCTTTTTTCTAGATGAGGGTTGTTTTCAGACCCCTCATCCGGGTCTCCCTAACCTCCCTTACCCATTTTCCAGGTACCATTGCCCTACCATACCCCCAATCAATCACCCATGACTCGCATTCCTTCTTTTCTTAGTTCCACTTTCTTCCGACTCCTGTCCAACCTCTTCCTCATGTTCTCTCACTCGTGCAAACTTAGGCAGGGGTCGAGAATAGACTAGAATCTTAGTTCCCTTTCCAACATTCATCAGGCAACTTTACAGAGGGAGGCACAAAAAGCAAAACTCAGGCAAATGTCGCACACAGGTCGGTCATCTCCTCACCGACCTCTTCCCCGGAAATGGTCTCTCCACTGTTACTATCGACAGGGCTTTACCCCATACCTTAAGCACAACTCAACCGTCACGAGCGCGGTATCCAGGTCTCGGCAAGGCATTTGCCCTTTCCTCCTTACCCAGAATACCCCATCCCGACTTGCCGCTCGTGTTCCCACCGCTAATCTCGGGAATCACCCCGCACATCTCAGTAAGGCCATTGGAGCCGGCCGTCCAGGTATTCACTTCCATCGGTCCGACAAGAATCATTTTTTTCCAAGCCATGCTACGAGAAGCTTTTAATCGCCTCTGAGGCTCCTTCCTTGCCCCATATGTAGTGATCCCCCTGCCGTCTGCCGACAAGCAACCGCCCCGCCTGAAGATGTTTCACACCCCACCTGGGCAAGATCATCGAACCATGCTCAGACCGCTCGGGTGAGAATGCTACTAATCAGCCGACGAGACCCACCCTTGCCTGACAGCCCGGTGGCCCGACCCCCACACACGCAACCCGGTGAACTTAAAAGAGGACGACCATTCCGCATCCCACACCGACCGGCGCAAACCAATCTTTTCCTTCCGAAAGGCAGGACGCTCGAATCCCCATCATGCAATCACAAGCCCCAAGGTGGGACACACATAACACAAGTGCCTTTTCCCAGGTCCACCCAGCGCTTCCTAACCATTGCTCACAGGTTTTCACTCAGGACAGTGTGTGCCACTCACCCCTAAATTCCATACATAGTGCCCGGTTCCTTTTCGTGAGCATCTTTAAAGAGGAGCTAGTTTTTCTCGGAGTATAGCAACTCCCTTCATTCCCTTATCTTTGCTTGTGTGTCCGTTCATAGGGTAGGATTGTTCCTTCTCGATTACTGTTTGTGTTCACATGAGGTTCCTTCAAGCATTAAGTGTGGTGCACGGATCCCGCTGGGCTCCGAAGAGGAGAGAAGAGAAGCACCCAGGTCGGTCGGATCACTCCGCCGCGGGATTTTCATTGGAACCCGGACTAGCCCGGAATCCCAATCGCCTGCCAGGTCACCGGAGCCCTTCTTTCGCACGAAGAGGAAGGGTCGACCTGCGGCTTGCCCAAGGCTTCCCCGACCTGACGAACATCAATCCAAGGGAAGGAGGACTAGAGTCATCTCCAAAGGAGATGGCTGATCAAAAGTGCAAGCATGCATGTTCTTCCTCCAGGCCTGACCTTGCCATGCACCCAGCCACCCTCAAATCTGATTCGCTCAAAGGGATAGAACACACACAAGTCCTTATTCCTTCTCTTCGGTTATGTACGCAGTCATGCGTCGGGCGCCCCCCCCCTCGAGATCGTCAGACTCAGTTAAACCCGATACCCGGCACCTCCACCATTTTTGTAAGGGTTGTACCCTGAAGGACTTTCGAGCCTCGGTCGACCCCACTGCGGGCCCCACTTGGCTCGACCCGCCCACGCTCACGCTCAGGGCACGGGTCGTTCGTCCCAGGGGCACTCCCACCTAGTGCTACAAGATGGATGGGGATGGGCCTTTTGCGAGAGGGCTTTACATTGGGGGATGTAGCTCCGCTCTCGCGTCAAGATGGTAGCTCTTTGGCCACTCGTGGCGTTTTCTTGATTCGATTAAGTCTGGCCAGGCAATTGCTCTTTCCAATACGCAAGCAGTCCAGGGAGTTTATTGGAGTTTTGTCTTCTTATCATGCGCAGACCAAGCGTCATTCATTGGGCCACGCACCTTTTCACTAAGTCTACTGGCTCAAGACAGCCCCTACGGCATCCTTGGGGTAGGGTGGCATCGCCCGAACCCCTAACCGCTATATTTTTTTTGCTTGAACCACCGACATTGCATTCACCTATCCACGACTGCCCTTAGTCCTTCCGGGCTTGCATTGCATTCAAGAGAGTCATTGCATTCAATCATCACACAAGCCCCATCCCGACGTCTACCACTCATTCAAGCATCCGACCATCCAACCCATCCTGCATTCATAGTTTGAGTGGGTTCTAAGTCCTTCCCTCGTCGCTTCCCTATTCCCGCCCGCATCCAGCGGACGCATTCCCGCTCAGACCACCCTAGGCTACTCACCTGCGCAAAACCACACAAAGCAAAAGCCAGGTACAATCCCCATTGGGGTCAACACATCGCCCCTCCCACAAGCCTAAGTTCCTTTTGCCTTTAGTGATCCTTTGGTTATCTTTTCCTCCGCTCAAGCAAGTCATGCCTTCACCTTAGTCATGCAGTCGGGGAAAATGGTTGAGTCAAACTGACCTCGTCCAAAATCGGCGTTCCTTTTTGCTTCCGCAAATGCTCTCAATAGTTCTGTATCCTTCCCTTCGTGGTGGCACAAGGGACCGACTGCCCTTCCCTTGCCCTCGCTTTCCACTAAGTGAGGACTAAGTTCCTTCCCGTTCGTTCCCTGGCAATGTAACAGAAGAGGGTGGAGGTTAGTCACATGCCATGGGGGGGGAAGGGGTGACGGAAGGGTTAAGGGTTAAAGAGTTTAGAAGGAATGGAGGAAGGCGGAGGGAGAGGAAGAGCGAAAGAGAGAGAGAGAGAGAGAGAGAGAGAGAGAGAGAGAGAGAGAGAGAGAGAGAGAGAGAGAGAGAGC